AAGCATGGGAGAGGTGTAAGAGAGTGAGTGAGTGGAAGAACGCATGAACGTGAGGAACGTAGAAGTATGTGTGAGAGAGAGCGAGTGAGCGAGTGAGCGAGTATGAAAGAGAGAGAGGGCTGTGTGAAGGAGCCTCTGCTATGTAGAGAAGCTGGGCCCAGGAACTATGTAGAGTGCTATATGGGGAGAGAGCTGTCCATGTAAATGAGATGTACAGCTGCGACTGTGTGGAGATTGGTAACTGTGTGAAAGCAAGGAAGATGCTGTATAGGAAAGAGCTGTAGAAGAGAAATGTGTGTAAAAGAAAGATGTGTGGCCATGTGAAATGACATGCAACTGAATATAAAAATATGTAACCGTGCAGGAGAGAGATGTATGTTTGTAAGAAAGACTGTCAAAAAGAGAGATTATTTAAGTTGAAGTAAAAGAGAAGGTCACCATCAGGAAAGCGTGTGCTTATTCAGTTCCCTCAGGTAGAAAAGTGTAGCTACCCTCAGATAAGAATTCTTCCTAATCACTGCCACTCTGACGTCTTCTCTTAATTACCCTGGAGCAGGTCTGGAAGCTGGCCTCCACAATCTGCATCTGAGAATTTTCTGTTTAGGCTTCTACCCCATTTTTAATTGGGTTATTGGGGACTTGATGTCTAGTTTCTTGAGTTCTTTATGTATTTTGGAGGTTAGCCCTTGGCTGGGTGTGTGGTTAGTGAAGATTCTTCAGGAGTTTTGTCCTACCAACAGTGTCTTTGCCTTACAGAAGCTTTTCAGTTTCATGAGGTCCCATTTATTAACTGTTGATCTCACTGCCCGTGCTACTGGTGATATATTTAGGGTGTTGTCTCCTGTGCCAGTGCGTTCAAGGCGGTCCCCGCACTTTCTCTTCTATCAGGTTCAGTGTAACTGGATTTAGATTGAGATCTTTGACTCACTTGGACTTGACTTTTGTGCAAGGTGATAGATATGGACCTATTTGCAATCTTCTACATGCTGACATCCAGTTATGCCAGCACCATTTGTTGAAGATGCTTTCTTTTCTCCATTGTATAGTTTTTGGCTTCTTTGTCAAAAATCAAGTGTTCATGGGTGTGCAGATTTATGTCTGGGTCTTTGGTTCAATTCCATTGATCAATGTGTCTGTTTTTATGCCAGTACCATGCTGTTTTTATTACTGCAGCTCTGTAGTTGAGCTTGAGATCAGGGATGATGATACCTCCCACAGTTCTTTTATTGTACAGGTTTTTTTTTAAAGCTATCCTGGATTGTTTTGTTTTTCCATATGAAGTTAAGTATTGTTCTTTTAAGGTCTGTAAAGAATTGTGTTAGATTGGTTTTGGTAAGGTAGTCGTTTTTACTATGTTAATCTTCTCATATCTTCTCCAATTTCTTTCTTCAAAGACTTCAAGTTCTTGCCATACAAATTTTTCCCTTGCTTGGCTAGAGTTACCCCAAGATGTTTTATATTGTTTGTAGCTATTATAAAGGGTAATGTTTCCCTGATTTCTTTCTCAGCCCTTTTATCATTTGTATGTAATAGAACTACTGATTTTTTTTTTAGCTAATCATGTATCCAGCCACCTCGCCAAAGGTGTTTATCAGATGTAGGAGTTCCATGGTTGAATTCTGAGGGTCAGTTATGTATACTATCATGTCATCAGCAAATACTGATACTTTGAATTCTTTTCCAATTTGTATCCTCTTGACCTCCTTTCATTGTCTTATTGCTCTAGCTAGAACTTCGAGCACTATATTGAATAGATATGGCGAGAATAGAAAGCGTTGCTTTGTTCCTGATTTTCGTGCAATTACCTTTAGTGGAATTTCTCTCCATTTAATTTGATGTTGTCAATGAGCTTGCTGTATGTTGTTTATATTATATTTAGGTATTTTGTATACCTGATTGTAAGCAGAATTTTCTTTCCCACCAGCGAGTTCCCAAGTAACCACATGGAAACTTCTCATTAATTATAAATGCACGGCCAGTCGCTTAGTCTTATTACTAACTCTTACAACTTAAATTGACACGTTTCCTATCTACCCTCTGCCATGTGGTGGAAACTTCTTTCAGCACAGCACGCTCATCCCAGCTTCATCTGCACCCGTGTCCACACGCATACATCGCACAGTGCCGGGCACCCGTGTCCACACGCATACATCATACAGTGCTGTGCACCCACCCATGCCCACACATGTACACCACACACATACGCAGTAATAATTCATGAGAGTGTCGAAAGACCTTTGGATGTCTGCGAGTTACTCTATCAGAACAGCACACACCAAACGGCAGGTCACACAGCAGGTTCACTCAGTGCCAGTTCACTCTTATTGGCACGCGAGTGAAGCTCCACCATCCTCCTCTGCCCCGACCTTCCTTCCTCAGTCTCTCGGGAGCAAGAACACCCCGCCCCCTCCAGGCTCAAGTCCCCACGGTGCTGCCGCCCCTGGTCCTGACGCTGTCCTCCGCACCTGTCGTACAGCCTAACAGCAATGGTGTTGTTAAATGTCGCTACAGACTGTTGGGTGGCAGAATCGTCAGGCCTTGCTCTGTTCCACTGTCGCACTGGGACATGAAGGCACCGGGCACGCTTTCTGTCAGCTGCCTCGGGTTCACAGTAACCATGGATTGCCTGCCCCAGCTACAAATAGCCTCTACATAAGGAAATGTCAAATCCTGTTTTAAATTGCCTTAAAAACATCCAGTTAGCGAAAATGAACTGTTTTTTATGAAAAAATACCAAGTTAGTAGGATCCGAGCTGTGTGTCTAGTTGGGGCAGGAAATATGAAACACAATCTTGAGGCTGGGGCATCGCCTCAAGTTCGAAGACAACCTGTTTTCCCCCAGTGAGTTCTTGGGCAGCCTCGGCTTTCACAGTGTGAGAGCCTGCTCCAGATTTTGTTTTTTCTGCCATGATAACGTAACTGGAGACATAAAGCCACGTAGGAGTGGTAGAGTCTATTTGGCTCACAATTTCAGTTTATAGTCCTTTGGTGAATGGGGCGGTAAATCAGGAACTTCAAACAGCGACTTCCTTCACATCCACAGTCAAGAGCAGAGAGAAACAAGTGCTTGCCCTCATCCGGGCCTCTCCCTCCTTGCCTAGGGAATGCCACACACAGTGGGCTGAAACTGTCCACACCAGTTAACCTAATGAAGACCTTCCCCTATAGACATGCCCATAAGGTCAATCTATTGTGGATAATCTTCCCGGGTGATTCTAGGTTGCCCTGAGTGGACAGTAAAAGCTAAAACCAACAGACTCTGTCCCAAAAGACCTTTAAAAATTAAGTTACAGTTTTAAAAAGAGAACATGATTTTTGTGTGTGTGTGTGTGTGTGTCCAGTTTCCTGGGAGACAGACAGCCTTCTGAACACCTGCATTAGTTAGTATAGTGCCTGCTCTCTCTCCACCTGGTGCAGAGGAGTCCACAACCGCCCCCCCCCCAGCAGCTTCCTAAGGAAGCCATAGAGCCTTTACCATATCACCTATGCCAACATCACCATCTGCCTTGTGTTCCAATCAGTTACGGAGGATGTTGGTTTTCAATACTGAAAAGTCAGTAACTAAAACTGTTTCTGAGGGCGATAAAAACAGGTTTGTCCTGAATTCATGATCAGTTTGTATTCCAAGTGATGGTTACAGCAACTAACTGCAGTTTAGAGTATATTCTCATACATAATCAGAGTTCTGCATGAAATCATTTAAGGCCCTCAAATTGCATAAATAACTATCCCATAGAGCCACTTGGGGGCAGGGTGCTTCTGCAGGAAAATAAGCACAGACTTCCAACCTGAGGCAGGACTTCCCTCTCCCTTTGCTGGTGCCTCTGTGCTGCCAGCTAGAGGGAGCGTGGAGAAAACGCAGAAGCATGAGAGACAGAAAGTAAGAATTGGCCCTGGGACCCCAGCAACGCTGACATGAGACAATAGGTTGTTGGGAGACAGAAACCGGCTTTGGCAGAAGCCAGTGATGTCCAATAGGATAAGCATCTTGAGTGAACCCATAAGCTTGTTAATTTGTAAGAGTAGTTACAGTAATCGGAAACAAACAAGAAAAACCGAGCACTCGCCAGTAAGAAGATGGTTGATACAGGAATACATTCATTTAAAATAACGTCTCAGAGATGCTATTTAATGTCGTATTAGAAACACGTCTGAGGTAACAATAAAATGTTAAAAGCAGGATTCAGAATTTCTTAAAAGGCCTACATGGGCTGAATAGAGGAAAATATTAATAAGCTGGTTCTTGGAGTAAACATCTTTTGTTTTGCTCAAGTTTCTGTGTGTGTGCGTGCTTATTTGTGTCTGAGCAGATGCATGTGTGTGGGCATGTGTGCACACATGTGGGTGTCAGAGGACACCTTTGAATATCATTTGTTCCTCAGCGACCTGCTACAGTTTTGTCTGAGATGGGGTCTCTCATTGATCTGGAGCATATCCAAGTAGGCAAACCTGCCTAGCCAGGAGCTCCAGAGATCTGCCCGTCTCTACCTCCCAGCTCACTGTGGCTGGCATTGCAAGGGTCTCCCACCTTGCCCACCTTTTACATGGGTGCTATGAATAGAACTCAGGTCCTCGGGTTTATAAGGCAAAGGTTATCGACTGAGTCATCTTTAAAGCCCAAGGTACAAAGTGTTTTTTTTGTTTGTTTGTTTGTTTTTTCATTTTTGTTTCCCTTGAGGGGCTGGGTGGAGTTCGAGACAGGGTTTCTCTGTGGCTTTGGAGGCTGTCCTGGAACTAGCTCTTGTAGACCAGGCTGGTCTCGAACTCACAGATCCGCCTTCCTCTGCCTCCTGAGTGCTGGGACTAGAGGCATGCGCCACTGCTGCCCTACGGTTCAAAGTGTTTACAGTGAATGTTACCACTTCAAATATAAAAACAATAAATTTAGAGTCTCACATTTTTTTACCAAGAAAATTATTAAAAAATCAGCAACTTGCACATTTCCTGGTACTAGTATTTTAAATTGTAGTTGATGTCCAAATTCCACTTTGTTTTCACAGGCCATCCAGAAATTTATCCACTCGTATTAACTACCAAGACCCAGGAAATATTCAACTGCCGAATAGATGAAGATTTCACAGATGAGCAATCATATAAGTTCATCAAAAAAGATGATATCTTGGCAGACTTGCTGAACCGAGCTGCAGTATCTGACTTTCACCCCGTCAAAAAAATTGTCCGGGTAAATACAAGCCTGCTCTTTGCTTTCAGTCTTATCTCAGGAATGTCCCAGGATGCAACACAAGCTAATTAGAGAAGATTTTGCATCCCACTCTGGCACTGCCTTTATTTCAGCCCCCTGGGAATCCTATGTGAGGGGGCTAAATGAAAGTTTCATTCTTACCAGAAACTTAAAATAGGAATCTAGCTGGGCGTGGTGGCACTTGGGAGACTGAGGCAGGAGGATCACAAGTGTGGGGACAACTTGGGATATACGGTAAATTCCAGACCATCCTGAGGTGCAAAGTAAGACTGTCTCTCAAAATATTTTTCTTATACTGCTTTAAATTGTTTAATTCATACTTTCAGCCCCACTTTGCCTCCAAGCATGTAGGCCACACCATCAAACAGTGCTCACACTTCACTCTTTTGTGTGTGTGTGTGAGTGTGTGTGAGTGTGTGTGTGAGTGTGTGTGGTGTGAGTGTGTGAGTGTGTGTGTGACTGTGTGACTGTGTGTCAGAATGTTGAGTGTGTGTGTGTAAGTGTGTGTAAGTGTGTGTCTGTGTGTGTTGTGTGAGTGTGTGGTGTGAGTGTGTGAGTGTGTGAGTATGAGTGAGTGTGTGTGGTGTGAGTGTGTGTGTGAGTGTGTGTGTGTGTGAGTGTGTGGTGTGAGTGTGTGTGTGAGTGTGTGTGGTGTGAGTGTGTGTGTGAGTGTGTGTGGTGTGAGTGTGTGTGAGTGTGTGTGTGTGTGTGTGTGGTGTGTGTGGTGTGAGTGTGTGTGTGAGTGTGTGTGGTGTGAGTGTGTGTGTGTGAGTGTGTGTGGTGTGAGTGTGTGAGTGTGAGTGTGTGAGTGTGTGTGTGTGAGTGTGTGTATGTGTGTGTCTGTGTGTGCTGTGTGAGTGTGTGGTGTGAGTGTGAATGTGTGTGTTAGTGAGTATGTGTGGTATGAGTGTGTGAGTGTGTGTGTGAGTGTGTGTGTGTGTGAGTGTGTGGTGTGAGTGTGTGAGTGTGTGTCAGAGTGTTGAGTGTGTGTGTAAGTGTGTGTATGAGTGTGTCTGTGTGTGCTGTGTGAGTGTGTGGTGTGAGTGTGTGTGTAAGTGTGTGTATGAGTGTGTCTGTG